GCACAGAACAACACAGCATGTACTTCCACTGGGTATGACTTTATGGCGGTCTGGCTCTGTGATCCGTGTGTATTTAAATTCCACAGAGAACATTTCAGAAGCGGAGCGTCTTCAGAGCCTGTTGCCTGCCCGATGTTGTTTAATTGTGTATTTGGTCATTAAAAATGATACAGAACGGTGTGCTTCTCAGATTCACAGACATTCAAATCTCCTCTAATTTGCCTCTGACAGATTGAATACTGGTCTGGTACCACAATGTTGAGATTTCATCCGGAGTCTGCACATGCTATTTATTTATTTCCAAATAAATTTGACCATATTGTCTATGGTGTTTCTGTGTCTGACTTCCTACCAGCGCTACATGGCGCGTGTGGGTTGCAGCTTCCGTCAAAATTAGACCAGCCGTGTATTCTACACAGAGCAGAATGGAAAGATGCTTCTGGGATGCTCCATGCTGCTTCTTTTGGAATTTCATCAGAATAGATAACACCGCATCACTGGGCAAGAAAGCCCAGCAGCATCTTCACAAAAGAGCAACATCCCCGGCAACCCATCATGTTCTCCTTCTCCTGTAGGATCATTGAGAGCAGTCGGACGCTGCATAACTGCACAGTTTGCGAGCTGCACTGCCTCCAACCGCAAGACCCTGCACAGCGGACGCAGCAGGGGCGATCACCGCTGCCTCGCTTCCCTCCCTCCTGGACATTTCCAACACCCATCCAGCCCGCAAAGCAAGTGACCCCACCCGTCCTTCACACCGCCTTCTCAGTCTCCCACCATCTGGGAGAAGATACCTCAAGACTGTAGCAGCTTTATACATCAGGCTGTCAGGAAGCTGAACTCTCTCCCTTCTGCCTCCAAAAAACCTGGACTGTTACTTACCCACGATGCCACACTTCCCCAGCCATAAGGACTTTTTATACAAACATATATGCGCACACGCCTACACTCAGCGCTAGCCACTTTGTACAAAACACTACAAAAATCTCTATTTGCACTTATTATGACACATTTTGTTCTTGGTCTGCCCCCCTCTGACACCCAGCTTAACCTGTTAATAAATTCTTAGTACTTTTTTGTCTTTTTTTCTCATCCTACTATTTTAAACCTTTGTTTTGTTTTAGTAGTCAATGGCAAAATTGACAATAAAGTTGACTTGGATCATCACCTTTTTCACAGCAGCCATTTTGACATGAAATAGTAGGGTAAACACACACATAAAAGACACACACAGATTATCTGTTTCATGTTCTATTGTTGTCACTGATATAGTGAAAAGTTTCAGCAAATTTGCAAAAGTTATTTTATGAAAATAACCTACTGCAGCTGTAACTGGTATATATAACAACAAATTAAAATGATAGTTTTGTTTGAAGTTTGATGATCACTGGAGGTTGTAGTATATCCATCTTCATATCTTATCTGTTTAAATTCTAACTTTGTGCCTAATGTGTTGCTTTGCTGTGATAGCAAACTGCTCTTTTTTTAACCCACCATCATCTATGATTGACACCTTGGGTGTGTTATTTGCTGTTTCCTTTTCAGTGGGCGTCAGAAAGTTATTAGTTACGTTTTTGAAAAATTCTGACAGGCAAATATGTCAGATTTGATGTGACATTCCAGCAGCTAAACACAACATTGC